TCATTTAAGCATTTGCGATAATGATAGCTATACTCATGGATATCCTTGTGGACTTTAAAAAGGACGTTTACTTTACCTGTTTTTTTAAAGTAATTTTTGGCTTTATGGTACCAAAATTCATAGTCGATTTACTCATGTTGGTCCTTGTTCTTCTTTTTTCACCTTTCGTATTTGAGGCTATTGAATAAAGTTACTGATCTTTTGGGTGCTTAAGCTCTAAAAAATAACCTAGTAAGACCAAAATTCTCAGTGATTGTTTTCGGAATATTGCAAATTCCGGGGTATTTTAGGAAGAATTAGACAGAAAGCAGAACTGACTGTGATCAGCCAAACAACCTAGTCCTGTGGAACTGTATCGGTTCGTCAGACTGTTCAAAATGGTAAGCTGTGAATGACCTAGACTGAGTGTTCCAGTGGTCTGGACTAGGCTTCATCGGAGAGGGCGCAGTAACAGCAATAAGATGCTGGTAGCTTAATGTCTACCTTTTATCATGATTGGTGAAAATATCAGCTGGAGAAACCACTAATGTCTGTCATTTATAAATTACAAACAAGGCCCAGCATGAGTTTTTCGAGTAGCAATGTCCGTGTCGTAAGGCCGCTATTCATTTTATAAAAATCCGAAGTAAAAAAGTGTTTAAAGTCCACAAACATATCCGTGAGTATAGACATCCTTACAGCAAATCCTGAAATCGTTGTAAGAAAAACATGTAAGATAAACAAGCATTAATTCATGTACACAATCATACACCAGTGGACGAGTGTGCTCAAGTTCAAAAAAGGATACACGTGAGCATAACTATTCGTAACCAAAAGCATTACCTCCATTACACATCGTCTCAGCCAAATATGTTAAGGAAATTTGCCCTCTTATTGGAGGAACTTAAAGAAAAAATTAAAATTCGGGCTACCGAACATATAAAATTCGTTTTTTGTTATAAGCCGACGGGATTTTTTTGGCCTCTATAATCAATCCTGCCCTTGTTCCTTCAATTTTCTCTTTCGCTTGCGAACTGCTATCCAACTGTTTGGGCCTACCGACAGAACCTGGTAAGTGGGGCATTGTGAGCGATTAAATTAAACTACTTACTTGCAACCCTATAAGTGTTGATCCTTTTCTGATAAGGTTTCATTCAGGCATCTTAATTTTGCATGGAGGCTTAAATCACCAGTCACATTGAATTCGTCACTTTGTTGTAACACAACATGTATTTGTCTGTGTCTGGTATTGCAAAAGTTTTTTAAAACAACACTTACCTCGTTTTTCGAACTCCGGGTTGGATACCTCGCCATAGAGAGCTACAAGTTCCTCTAGTTCCGAACTGTTTGCCCGCATGTATGACCGATCGGATGCTACCGATCCGGCTGGATCTGTGTTGGATACTCCACCAGAGGGGGTTGCGAATCCGCTGTAGAAACTGCTGTCACCAACAATCGGGGAGCAGCTAATACTTTCCAGTGAAGCCTCTGTGTGCACACGACTGGAGAGAAACTGGGTTCGAAGGGCCAAAAAACCACCAGCCTGCCCATCGGATTGTTTGATAAAATGCCGAGAAGAGATCTCCTGAGGTCAGAGTATCGTAACATCGACTTCCGTACATTAATTTTGATTCGTTCTATCCCATTCCATTTCCGTTATTTTGTGGTTGGTCATCAACGCTTACTGACTGCGAAACCTCTCATTTAATAACCAACAACTATCATTTGTCATATT